GGGGGGGCGTAGTGGAAAGGAAAGAGCGTGGATTTGGCGGAAGGCTAAAGAGTAGAAGGTGGATTAGGTGATGAACTTCCATTCTATAGAATAGTACTCGTCAATATTTAGGCCAGAGAGCGTTTGATTGGAGGCGAAGATCCACATCCACGTAGATTCTCTAAAATCAAGTCTATATTGTTGGGCTTTTGACGATCTCATTACTCTGTTGCATCATCATCATCCTCATCATCATCATCATCATCATCATCATCATCATCATCATCATCATCATCATCGTCGTCGTCGTCGTCGTCGTCGTCGTCGTCGTCATTATCATCATCACCATCATCATGAGCAACAGCAGCAACAGCACAAAGCTCATTACCCATGTTTTAAAGATAGATGAAGTAAAGTGGAAAAAAAAATACGTGGTAGGCAAACTTAGATCAAACGATGGAATTGCAATGCATAGAAACGTACAGTAACGAACAGCACATAACTCTTTAGAATTAGACTCCAAAATTCCCAAAGAATAACAACAACAGCAGCAGCAACAGCCTCACCACAACCACCACCACCACCACCAACAACAACAACAATAACAACAACAAACAAAAACGAACGCAAAAATAACCATATTGACGACAATAGCAGCAACAACTTTAACAACAACAATGACATCATCCTTGCCAACATTTTCCTCCTGATAATGGAAACAGTTATAGCAAATCCAGAAAAACATTTTTCCTTTACAAATAAAATTCAATGACAATATCATAATGTTTGCACGTTCACTGCTCCATTTCTCCGTTCCCAATATAGATGATATCTCTCATTCTGGGTTTGCGTTTTCATATTTGTCTAATTATACTGGGAAATGATTAGATCTATGACCTGGAATATTCCACTCAGTCTTTTTGGCATCTTTTTCTGTCAGCTTTAGAAAGGATCCTCCAGACCCCGGAAAGCCTGAAAAACAGAGAAAGACCGGGAGAAAAGCGAGTTGGTGGTAAGTTCGAGTTGTCTCCATCTTTATATTTTGCTGCTCCTCAAGAACAATTTTTTAACAATTCAAATCTTAACTTTCATCTGGCTACTCGCTAGGGAAATTATTATTATTGTAGATTGTCGGGAAATGATTTGTGCTATGCAAGTGTGAGATATTTTTTTAAATTGAAAATGTTTTCGTTCACGTGTTTATTATTTGCACTTTTCATCGGGCGTTTGTGTGATAAGCAGACAGACAAACAGATTTAATAAACAGACAGACAGACAGACAGACAGACAGACAGATAAGCAAACAGACAGACAGACAGACAGACAGACAGACAGAAAGACAGACAGACAGACAGACACACAGGCACACAGAAACACAGACATGCAGACAGGCAGACAGGCAGACAGACAGACAGAGAAACTCCACTTTTTTAATCCTCTTGGGAAATTTGTTTTACAATGGCATAGATAAATACATGATACATTAATATAATAATATTATAAACGCGTGAACATTGCACAATATCACGAACATAGACAGTCCACCTGGCGTCTGTGATATAGTGCGCGCGCAGAAGACCCGAGTTTGATTCATATTTTGGGGCAAAGGTCGTCGCTATGAAAATTATGTTGATGATTTTTTAGATAAGTAATTTTTTATTTCCTCTATACTGCTACAACTATCGTCCAAATATATTGCATCATGTTTTGAGTTTTTGCTCTTCGTGCATGTGAATAAAATTTCTTTCCATACAGCTTTGTAACCATGGAGATCATGACTAGTACTAGTATATTATTTTCTTCTTATTTTGTTCGTATGCTTCCACAGTGTGTTGCAACCCTCCAGCCACGTGAGTGTAAATCAAGAAGTTAATTAAAGTATAGCGCGAAGAAAAAGCTCAGGTGATTTTCAGAGAGAGGGGGAGAGAGAGAGAGAGAGAGAGAGAGAGAGAGAGAGAGAGAGAGAGAGAGAGAGAGAGAGAGAGCAAGAAGCTTTTAATCTCCTTGAGAGAGAGAGAGAGAGAGAGAGAGAGAGAGAGAGA